CTGTGATGCCACAGCACTCTACCCAGGGTAACAGCTCGAGGCTCTGTCTCAAAAAAAAAAAAAAATTTGGCTTCCTACTTCAGAGTAATAGAGTATTCTGAAAGAAGATAATAGGTTTTCTTAAGCCTTTATTTTACAACTTGGGTCCTGGAAATAAATGTTCTAATGTCTTTAATTATTGCTAAATAATTGTTCTTAATGCAGTACTTCTCCAGTATCCTCAACTATCATAAGTACCGCTGAAAACTGGATGGTGAGCACAAGTGTCTCCGAGGAGCCATAAAAGGAGCCTAAAGTTGAACACAAAAGCTCAAGTATAGTTTAACAAGAACTGCCCAGACCTTCTCTGAGAATGTTATGCTTTATCTCAGTCCTGTGAAGCTAATTTATCTAATGACTTAGCACAGTGGTTCTCAACCTTCCTAATACCGTGACCCTTTAATACAGTTCCTGTGGGTCACGACCCATAGGCTGAGAGCCGCTTAATTAGAAGCAGTGAACTACGAAGAGGACAGAAATGGGCTGATGGAGAGAAAATTGGACCTAAATATCCCCAAACACATGGCAACATGGGGTCATTTAATATGTTGTTAAACTGTGTTATTCCTCCAAAGCCTTAGCCCAGAGTAAGAAGGTACTAATACCAGGATATAATGACTGTTTTGACAGGTAGAGATAAGAGCTTAAACTCCTGTAGATTTACTTAAGTGAACGTCTTTTACTGAGGGAAAGGGGAATGTGTGGGGTGTTCAAAAGAACTCTGAAGACTTGGCTTAGTGACATGGGTTTGTCTTACGATCTTCACTTAATTGTGGTCTCTATAAAATGGTGAAGTCTCCTACCTCTCAGGATTAAGTAAGAATAAAATGATATGATATATGTACAAATGTGCTGTAGACTGCCAAGTCTGATACAAATTTTAGTTTTTCAATTTGCTTATTATGTTTTAAAATATTCCTCTGAGGTTTAACTCTGCTGGATTGCTTGTCTAAAATATTATTAATCATCTTTGCAAATTTCCCAATTGCTTTCCAGATTTCTATATTCAGATGAAGTTCAGATTGGCCCAGAAACAGTTATGACAACTCTTTATACTGCCAAGAAATATGCAGTCCCAGCCTTGGAAGCACATTGTGTGGAATTTCTCACCAAACATCTTAGGGCAGATAATGCCTTTATGTTACTTACTCAGGTAAGTAAATGTAGCTAAAGGATATATTATTGTAGCTTAAAAATTGAATATTTTTATATTTATATGTATTCATATTTTATATGAATTTTTAATATTTCCCAGATAATTAATTTTAATCATAACTTAAAAGTACATGTAATTATTTTTATACCACTCATGGAAATCTGTTTCATGAGATTTTAGAATTGAAAAGCATGTTAGAGTTAATACATTGCTGGATCATATAGGTGAAGAAGCTGGAGCCTTACATAATGGGGTATTGTGGCTGAGGGTTAGATAGCTGTTTGGGATTGGAGTTGAGGATTAAGATCCAGTGTTTCTGCAATGATTGAGAGTATAATACTGTAAGATTTTCTGGATATCTTCATTCTCAGTTTTTGCTGGGTCTAGAATAAAGATAGAATAGTTTAAGTCCAGAAAAGTTTTAAGATTTCACTGCCTTCGGGAGGCTGAGGCAAGAGAATCACCTAAGCCCAAGAGTTGGAGGTTGCCTTGAGCTGTGTGACACCGCCACAGCACTCTACCGAGTACGATAAAGTGAGACTCTGTCTATAAAAAAGAAAAAGATTTCACTGTCTTTCGACCTGTATCTAGAATATTGCTTACCTACTTCTAGAGGAGTTAGAATTTTAGGTTTATATGAAATATCCTTTCTATGACATTTTGAACTGTTTTCACTAAATATAGTGAATGTATTACATCTCCATATCAAAAATGCATGTAAGTGTATCGTCTAATGAATTTTTGCAAACCGAACACCTTTATTGAACCCTTAACCTAGTTCTTAACGTCTGTTAGTTAGCATTTGTTAAATGCCTTTAATCTGAGCTTCATACTTTGCATATAAATAAACTTTTTCTTTTTAGACAGTGTGGTGATGCTCTTGTACAAATTGTTTTAAAAATTCTGAGTTAATAAAATATAATCCTATTTGATGTTAGTACTGGAAATAATTGGTAATGACCCCAAGCATAACCCTCTCATTTTACAAATGGGTAAACTAAAACCTGGGCTAATTAAACTCACGACAGACTAGGTGGGGCCAGGGCCCAGGACTCATGTTTTCTATTTCAGTGTTCATTCTATCATGTGGAAAATACTTGGTACCTTCAAGAAGGTTTTTGTGCCTTTACAGAATCTTCTGCCATTAAGTATTTGTAGTTAACAGAACAAAGAACATTCCACTGTCACTTATTCTTGGATGTAGTTACATCATTCCACATGTGCCAGATATCACACTAGCCCCTTTACATGTATTATCCCATGTCCTCCTCATTGTGACTGTGATGTAGTTAACTATTATTTTCTCCATCTTCAAGATGAAAAAGGGAAACTTACTTCTACAAGCAAATATCCTATTAAACCTTATGTAGCAGTTGTAAAATGAAGGTCTCAACCTTAAACCAGTAGTTCTTAAGGCATGGTGATACTACTGATGAAGATAACAGCACGTTGTATTGCAGGATAATTGTGTGCCAGGCACCCTTGTCAGTACTTTGTGTACATTCCCATTTGTTATAATAAATCCTTGCAATAATATTATGAGGTATAGGAGTTCAAAGTAGAAGTTTTATTATTATCACTGTTTTATAAGTAAGGAATTTGAGGCTTAGAGAGGTGAAACAATTTGATCAAAGTCATGTGACTTAGTAAGTAGAGTGTCTCTGCATTTTTTCTTTTTAATTTGTAATAAAAATCTAGTAAGTTGATATTCATAAGATTCTTTATTGTCCAAGTGGTTTTAATGTTTGTGGAGAGGATTACTTAACTACTTTTATTTTAAAAGTTCAGTTATGAAATTCAGAAACCAATAAACTAAATTTTGGCAATTAAAATGCAGATTGTGTTTCAGTAGGTCCAAGTTGGGGCCTGAGTGTCTGCATTTTCTAGAGGCTTTCACAAGACACCAGTGTTTCTGGACTACACTTTCAGTAGTAAGGGTTAAAAGGTGTCACTGTGAGAAAAGATGAACTCTTCAGTGTCTTGTTGATGTGAAACCCCGTATCACATCAAAGTTTTCACTGATGGGGCATGTATATTAGTCCACAGATTGTCACATGAACTTCTTCCTGCCAAGTGAGTCATTTGAACTGAGCATGCTCACTGACTTGAGAGGGCCTCTGCCAGTCTCACCCTATAACAGAGTGCCAGTGTGCTGTGCTGTCCTGATTTATAGAGAGGAAAACACTTTCTGTGAAGTGTTATCAAAGATAATGCCATAGTCAAAGTCAATACTGAGAAAATTCATTTTGCTTTAAGTAACAGCAGTAGATTTTTGAAGAAACTTGATATTGTCTTTATGTAGTGTGAGGAGTAACGGATAGTTGCTACCCTGAATAAAATAATTTTTAAAAAATACTGGCCAGGTGCAATGGCTCACACCCATAATCCTAGCACTCTGGGAAGCCAAGGCAGGTGTATTGCTTGAGCTCAGGAGTTCCAGACCAGCCTGAGCAAGAGTGAGACCTCGTCTCTACTAAAAATAGAAAAATTAGCCCAGCTACTCGGGAGGCAGAGGCTTGAGCCCAAGAGTTTGAGGTTGCTGTGAGCTACAACAGCATGGCACTCTATCCAGGGTGACAGAGTGAGACTCTGCCCAAAAAACCAAAATACTGTTTTTCCTAGAGTGAAAGTTAGTTGTCATTTGAAAACTAATTAAAAATATAGTTGACTTGGCTAATTAAAATGTATTAGAATTTCACTTATACTATGTTTCATAATTTAAAAATTTGTGAACTATGATCCTAGACCGAATCCTGTACTAGAAGGAAAAATGTTATATAAAAAATATTATGGGCAAGTGACAAAACTGAGATGCAACCCGTAGACTGGGTAAAAATATTGGATTAATGTTAAATTTATCAAAGTTAATTACTATGATTATTTAAGAGAATGTCCTTATTGTTAGATAATTTAAGGGCAAAAGGCCACAATATACACAACTTATTTTCAGATAGTCTGGCCCCTGCACTCCAAATAGATCCATACACATACATACATATATATGTATGTATACATGTATGTATGTATGTATATGTATCTACACATACATACACACAAAAGAGAGAAAATGATAAAAACAACGAGGCAAAATGTTAGATAACATTTAGATAGGTAAATTTGGGTAAAATGTATATGAGTACTCTTTGTACTATCCTTGCAACTTTTCTGTAAATTGAAATTCAAAATAAAAAGAATTTTAAGAGAAAATTGCTTGGAAAGGAATTAACATTCTATTTATTCTAACCCAATTTTTTGTTATTTAGTCCAAAAATTTATTGATAATTTAACAAAGCAAATTAATATCAACAGGCTTAGTGTATAATCTAAGAAGTGTATTTTTAAACATATTTGAATATTCTATAATTTAAAAAAAATATACTCCTAGCCTGCAGTCCTGGCTACTTGGGAGGCTGAGCGGGAAGATTGCTTGAGTGCAGGAGTCTGGGACTGACCTAGGCAAAGCAGCAAAGCCCCATCTTTAGAAAATACTTAATTTTTTAATATCTTAATTACTTAATATATAAGGTTCAAAAATTTTTGGCCAGATATGTTGGTTTACACCTGTAATCCCAGTGTTTTGGGAGGCCAAACTGGGAGTATTGTTTGAGGCCAGGAGCTTGAGACCAGCCTGGGCACACATCAAGCCCCCCAGCTCTCCAAAAAAATAAGAAATTAGCACTATGTGGCATGTATGTACCTGTAGCCCCAGCTACTCAGGAGGCTGAGACAGGAGAATCATTGGAGCTCAAGAGTTTGAGGTTACAGTGAGCTGTGATTATACCACTCTACCACAGCAACACAGTGAAATCTTTTCTCATTTAAAAAATTTTAAATATAGGCTTGGCGCCAGCCACATACACCAAGGCGGGCATGTTTGAACCTAGCCCAGGCCATTATAGCCTACTTGGGAGGCTAAGGCAAGAGAATCGCTTAAGCCCAAGAGTTGGAGGTTGCTCTGAGCTATGACACCACCACTCTCTACCCAGGCCAACATAGTGAGACTGTCTGAAAAAATAATAATAATAAAATAAAAGATGTAAAATATAAATAAAATATATTTAAATTAAAACAATGAAAGCTAGTGTCTTTAACACTTCTCTCCCCCACAAAAACACAAGATAACTGCTTAGTTTAGAGCAGTTTAATAGTTATTTTGGAGTATTTGAGTTATTGAGTCCTTTAAAGTGAATTTTACCTTAAAATTAAATGAGTCATCAGTCATTTCAAATTGAGTGTCATTTGTGGTATCATCAGTTAATTGGCAGTATTCTCAGCACACACTCATTATTTCTGCTATTAAATGTAAACAGTTGAATATGTATGATCTGAAGGTAAAATTATCATGAAAGTAAAACGATATCTCTTTCTGTGTTTAGGCTCGATTATTTGATGAACCTCAACTTGCTAGTCTTTGTCTAGACACAATAGACAAGAACACAATGGATGCAATAAGTGCAGAAGGGTTTACTGATATTGATATAGGTAAGTTCACTGGGAAGTAAAAACTGTTACATTTTCATTAGTCAATGCCTTGTCAGTCTTGTTGGAGAATGAGCTGTTTAAAAATTAAATTTACATTAGTGGTTTTTCCAAATGGTTGAAGTCTGCCTCTTTAAAAGTTCTGCTTTTGGCTCAGCGCACATAGCACAGTGGTTAGGCATGGGCCACATACACTGGGGCTGGCAGGTTTGAACCCAGCACAGGCCTGTTAAACAACAATGACAACTACAACAGCAACAACAACAAAAAATAGCTGGGTGTTGTGGCAGGCGCCTGTAGTCCCAGCTACTTGAGGGGCTAAGGCAAGAGAATTACTTGAGTCCAAGAGTTTGAGGTTGCTATGAGCTGTGATGCCACAGCACTCTACCAAGGGCAACATAATGAGACCCTGTCTCAAAAAAAGAAAAACAAAGAGTTTTGCTTTCTTTCATTTTGGTGAACATACTCCTACGTCTTAACATCATTGCTTTTTAAAAAACGTCATTCAAATAAATATTCATTGAATGCTCATCATACGAATGACATTATACTAGAGTCCTAATAGGGAATATAAAGAAGGGTAAGATGCTGTGTGTCTTGTTAAGGAAATACCTAATTGGAGAATCAAGGAACAAATATCTGAAAATTAAGATTTATTTATTTATTTTTTAATGTGACACAGTGTCGCTTTGTTGCCCTTGGTAGACTGCCTTGGGTTCACAGCTCACAGCAACCTCAAACTCTTGGGCTCAGGTGATTCTCTTGCCTGAGCCTCCTGAGTAGCTGAGACTGCAGATGCCCCCCACAATGCCCAGCTATTTTTGGAGACGGGGTCACTTTGGCTCAGGCTGATCTTGAACCTGTCAGCTCAGGCAATCCACCACCTCGACCTCCCAAAGTGCTAGGATTACAGGCATGAGCCACCGCTCCCTCCCTGAAAATTAAGATTTAAAACACGAATAGACGAGATAGCCTATGACAAAATGTGATTTTTGCCTTTTCTAAATTAGATATGTAGGAAATAATTATACGAATCCAGAAAATGGATTTCTGTAATGGATTACCTAAAATTAGAGAGAGATGATGTTCTGTTATTGGCTTTAAAGAATAGATAAGATAGCAAGTTCTTGAATAGTGTCATTTGGTACAATGTTGATGAGGAAGAATAATGGTCTCCAGCTGGGGCCTCTGTGCCTGTGGAGCTTGTTTATTCTCCCTGTGTCTGTGTGGGTTTTATCCATCCAGGCACTCCAGTTTCTTCCTGCATCCCAAGACTGTGCTTGGCAATAAATTGACCGGTCTCCTGATCCCAGTCTGAGTGTGGGGGTGTGTTAGTACACCCTGGGCTGGAATGGCCCTCTGTCCAGGTTTGGTACCTGCCTTGCTCCTTCAGTTGCCAGGATAGGCTTCAGCCACCCACAAGCCTGAACTGGAAAAAATGGGTTGGTACATAAATGAATGAAGGAATGCAAATTACTGTGAAATAAAAATTCATATAGTATACAGTAGTCATGCAAATGCACAATGTTGTGAAAGCACACAGACACCCACAACATGTGATAGGTTTTAACTGCCTGGTGGCAGGAGGTGCTTCTTAAAATTTTTGCTTCAGTCCCCCCTACTCTCTGTTAAATCTCTTCTGTTCCAGGTGGCACCTATTGCTCAAGGAGTAGGGTGTCAGCCCCATATATCGGAGGTGGCAGGTTCAAACCTAACCCCAGCTTAAACAACAACAAAAAAAATCTCTTCTGTTCCTTTCTAACTTTTATCAGTTTTCCTTAATGGCACCACCATGAACCTGATTGCTCAAACTAAAATCTCAGTAGTTACTCTTTTTTTTTTTTGAGACTGTTTCTGTATGTCGCCCTTGGTAGAGTACCATGGTATCACAACTCACAGCAACCTCCAACTCTTGGGCTTAAGCAATTCTCTTGCCTCAGCCTCCCAAGTAGCTAGGACTACAGGTGTCTGTCACAACGCCTGGCTATTTTTTGGTTGTAGTTGTCGTTGTTTGGCAGGCCTGGGTTGGATTTGAACCCTCCAGCTCTGGTGTATGTAGCTGGCGCCCACAGTTGCCAAGCCTTAGTAGTTATTCTTGATTATTCTTTAACACACATGCAGTCTTATCAGCAGGTACTCTTGGCTGTCCTTTTAAAATGCATCCTCAATCTGACAATTTCATAACATATCTATGGCTACCACCTGGTCTAAGCCTTTGTTTTCTTATCTGGATGACTCCTGTGGTCTCCAGAAGTCTCTTTGTCCATTCTTGCTGCCATATAGTCCAGTGCTGCACAGCAGCCAGAATGATAATTTTAAATAAAAAGTCAAGTTGTATCACTTCCTTGCTTCCTAGTGGAAGGCAGAATAAAATACAAACTTACAGAGCTTACAATGACCATCAGGCTTTATATTTGTCAGGATAAGCTAGGCTAGGCTGTAGTAACAGACCCAAAAGTGCTTATTGGCTCAAACATAGAAGTAATTTATTTCACACAGTAACAGTCCAAAGGTGTGTGGGAGTCAGTGGGCAGTTTTCTGTCCTGGCTCTGCTATTCTCCAGGATCTTATTACTATCCGTGTCTTGCAGGTGGGAGAAAGTGTGTGTGGGCAGGCACAAAGACCCACATATTAAAAAGCCTTGGCCTTGGAATCGCACCTTCATTTTGGCCATTTTATTGTCCAGAATTCAGTCACAAGATCCCACCTAACTTTAGGGAAAGCAAGAGACACAGAGTAGTAATATCTCAGGAAGAATAGAAAGCATATTTTTGGTAAATAACTAGGAGTCACTACGTCTCCCTAATCTGACTTTGGCTCCCACCATTCTCCCCTTCCTTCACATTCCATGTACACTTGCCAGTACTATTTATATTTTTGGACTTTGTATTTGCTCTTCCTTATGATTGGAATTAGAGATATTATTTATCTCTTACAGTTGTTTGCTAAAGGAAGAAAAAGCACATTGATAGAACAGGATAAATTTACATTATGTCAAGGACAGTATGATGTGCTTTTTGATTTTTTTTTAATCATACTTTATCTTTACTAAAGTTACTAGTATACAAAACAGAGCCATGTGGGTCCAAAGTTTTCTGTTTTTCTATCAAATTATTAAATATTATAGTGACTATATATTCTTCACCTAAGTACTTTGGTAAATTGATTTACATTTAATTTACCTATGAAAGAGCTTCATGGAGGCTTAGGTTATATAATACTTGCTCAGGTACGAGAGAAGGGACAGTAGTTTGGTTTTATAAATGTTTAGTCAGCTTATTTTTAACATACATGGTGGCCATAAAGTTCATGTGCAGTTTAAAATTGCACACTATTTTAAATTGCATGTGAACTTTATGTGTACCCTGTATTATTGAAAAGCCTATTGTGTCCTTGGGACTATGGTATCTCTGCTAGAATTTTAGATATGTTTGATAGTAAGCAGATATTTGGCTTTTAGCATGAATGTGTAGATTATTGCAGAAAAGTGGTTTTTAAAATAATTTCCTCTTGGATATCTATTTCTGGGTAATTTACTTATGTTTAATGTTTTAATTGATTTCTGCCATATATAAGTACCATATTTTTGTTTAAATTTGAAGTATAACTAATAGCTATTTTATAGTAGTGCCTGTTTTATCTCTAGGTTCATTAGAGAATAAGGCTCCACATAAGTAATTTTTTCATATTTAAACCAAGACATTTATTTTGGCCATTTGAGAAAGGTATCTAAAACATGTTTTACTTCACCTGCTCTTATTAAACAATGTATACTAAGTGTAATTTAGCATTCTTGTGATTTTTACTGTTCATTATTATGTGTATAAGTTACTGTACAGTGATGCACCCAGGCCATTGATGTGTTATTCTTTTAAAACCTTTTTGTATAAGACTTTTTAAATTTGTTTTTCTTTAATACTTGCTGTAACTCTGTAGTACTTTGGGAGCCAAAAGGGATTCATGTATAAAATATTCTCTGGATGTTACTACCTACTTCAGTTGAATAGAATAATACATTGAAAAGATTAAAGAAGTTTGTAAGAAATATGTGTATATTTAATACATATTTATACTATGAGTTATAATTCCTACATTAAAAACAGAAGATAGTTCTTAACTAAAAATCTGGGATAATTTTCTTTTTTTTTTTTTTTTTTTTTGAGACAGAGCCTCAAGCTGTCCCCCCGGGTAGAGTGCCGTGGCATCATGCTCACAGCAACCTCCAACTCCTGGGCTCAA